GGAGGAAGAGAAGGAGGAGGAGGAGGAAGAGAAGGAGGAAGAGGAGGAAGAGGAGGAGGAGGAGGAAGAGAAGGAGGAGGAGGAGGAGGAGGAGAAGGAAGAGGAGGAGGAGAAGGAAGAGGAGGAGGAGGAGGAGACAACTAACAAAAAAGGAATTTTTTCTATTACCCTTGTGTAATAGAGTGAAATAAGAGTGCATCTCTAATCCCAGATACTGAAGTACACAGAAAATACAAAACTTACAATTAGTGTAAGGATAAGAGAATTGTTGCTTGTTTCTAATCTGGTAAAAACTCAAACTCTTGGGCTCTGAATCAACCAAGGTACATCCTCTGTACCGTTAGTCAACCAGGACATTTAGTTAAAAACACTCTCCTCTTGCTGCAGCGTTAATATTTTTTTAACGTTAGGATGCTGAACAGATAAAGAGTTAAGGAACTTATTCAAGATGAGCTCATTTTTCCTACTTCCTCCCTCCAGCAATGGACATCTGGAAGAACTGACCAGTCATCTTCTCTGATTTGTCCTTATTAATATATCATATAATCAAAACTGCTCTTGACCTATCATATTTATACAGAGAAAATAATCTCAGGCTACAGATTTCAGAAGTGCAGAGTCCGAGTTTATGATCGCGTAACGAGGACCTAGGGGTGCATATCAAGTTAGTGTGAAATAACATATATATATGAATATATAAATAAATAAATAAATATAATATATAAATATATATATATGAATATATATATGAATATATAAATATCATGAAGCCTTCAACAACCTGGAGGTTTTGGCACGTGCCCTGAAACGTTTTGGTTTCTGACAGTCGAAGTTTTAAATCCCAAACTTCAACCTCAGAATGTCACTCCTGAGTGGAGGAAGAAATTGAAAACATGAGCAGGTGACTTCAAGACCACATTGAGCAACCAGTTTCTTTTTTTTAATAATAACTTTATTAAACTTTACAATTAAAACGATAAGAACTAATACAAACTAAAAAAAATAAAAGAATAAAAAATAGAAAGTGCAGAAAAGAAGAAAGAAAGAAGAGGAAAAAAGAAACAAAGAAGTGACTTCTCACCTTCATCACGAGTATAAACAATTTTAGTAACTCATCATTTTCTCTTAAAATACAACAAATGATCTCTTCTTCCCATATCCCATCTCTTATCTATAAACGGATCCTTAAAACCTCGTCAGTCCTGATCAGCAAAAGTCCATTAAGGGTTACCAGAGATAACAACACATCTATTTTAACCTTGATCAAATAAACCCACTTTAGATTCCTTCCCTTTACTTTTAACAATCTTGATCTTTTAATATTCTTTCCCTTTACTTTTACAGGTAGTCCTCAACTTACGACCACAATTGGGACAGGAATTTCCATCGCTAAGTGATATAGCCATAAAGTGAGACATCACATGACCACATCGCTTAGCCACAGCAATCCCGGCAATCCCCGTTGCATTCTTTAAGCAAATTCCACCAGTTGTTAGCCGAAGACCCACCCCAATCCGAGCCATTCTGGGCTGGGTCCCTTCCAGCCCTGAGCCTCAGTAAGGTAAGGGACTGCCTCCAACTCCTGCCTATCTCCCCCTCCCCCATTTCTGCCCTTTTGGCCGCCCTGCATCTTGCCTTGCACAGCTCTGGGGCTGCTTGCCACAGCCCAGGAAGCCACAGCCACCCCAGGTTATCCAGATCACTCTTTTGATTTGCTAAGACATCAACTAGTTTCATTCATATATCCAATATAGCAACTTTTTCCACATCATTCCTGTAGCCCATCATTTTTTAATCTACTTTCAAGTGAGTCTATGTCCTATCTGGTAAAGCTTGCTTCTCTTCCATATCATCTTCCAAAAACAGTCTATCTATAGTGGCAGACATTTTAAAAATTAACTTCTGGGTCCTTTGTTCACAAATATCCTTCAATAAGTCCAATGTTAAAGTATTTTGCTCCAGTCAGTATTAGTAAATCAAATGTAATGCTCTTCTCTTTTAAATGTAATCTTTAGTTTCTTCTGGTTCCCTCTGGTGTCCAAAAATCCCATCTTATTATATATATTGGCATTCAAAACAACGGCATTTTCCCACAGGAAGGATTCTTATAATTAATTCCAAAATCTTATTTCAAATCCATCTGGACCTTTAGCCCATTTGTAACTTTCCAAAATCAACATTCTAATCACCCTTTGGCTGTTTATTCCAAAAAAAGACTTATGAAGGCTCCTAATATCTGAAAAGCAGTTAACAAGCAATTTCCAAAAGTGATTAAGAAAGGAAGTATGCGGACCCAGTGTCCATTTGAAGGTGCTGAAATGTGGCTTTGGCTATGATGGCGTCCCCTCATCTTCCAGAGCTCTAAACCCACAGGAGACCACTGTTTTGCAGTCTCCTTGTGAGAAGCAACTATCTGGACCATTTGTTGGCAATCCCAATCCTTTCCTTATCTGGAGAGGAATTACAAAGAGTCAGTCCATTCACCGCCTCTTCATTCTGCCGCGGTTGTCTTCAGTTTGCCATTTCTTCCCCAGAAGTCCCTAAGCAACCAGTTTCATCACTAGGGCGTGGAAGTGTTGATATTCAAAGCCATAAGGACTGCCAATATCGACCCATCTGAAGAACATTTTTTTCAGAACCGTGAAAGTACTTAGCCTGTATTCTACTGAAGCCTGATCCCCAGAGGAATCTCAGTGCTAGATTTTGATGCTAGATATACCAATGGAGTGCCAGTTTCGACTCTGCTTGAAAAGGAGCAGGAGGAGAATTATGGGACAGCAGTGGTATCTTCATGGCCACAGGCCTCCTAGAATCCTGCATACGAGCCCTCTGTGCTTTCAGACCAAGTCGAATCTCTCTGGTGATTCAACGACCTGCAATGCCTCCTCAGGAAGTTCTGACTGACGCAGCCAAGTCTCCCCAGCACCATGAAGAGCTTGTTCCGAAACTTGACCCCAATGAAGGCATAGAGCAGTGGGTTGAGGCAACAGTGAAAGAAGCCTAAACTCGTGGTGATTGTCTCAGCTATGTCCAGTTTCTCATCCCACTGGCAGTCCTTCTCAAGAACTTCCAGCTGGAGCAAGGTTCTGATGAACTGCACCAAATGGTAGGGTGACCAGGAGAGAAAGAAGGCTACCACCACTGCCAAGATCACCTTGAGGGCCTTGTGTTTCTGGAAACCTTTGGAGTGCAGGAGGGTGAGGATGATGTGGAAGTAGCAGTAGACCATAGCCATCAAAGGAAGCAAGAAAGCTATGACTTGATTGATGATGATTAGGCTGATTTTCCAAATCATGGTTGTATTAGGGGGGAAAATGAGAGAACATGAAGTAGTATTTAGACGAGAATCAAACTCAGCCCTTAAATACACGAAATCTGGTACCGTAAGGAGGAAACAAATGAGCCAAACCACCAAGGTGGTATTGATGATCAGGGACCGCTTGTTCCTGTTGTACATGCGTATGACATAAACAATGGAGAGGTACCGTTCAAGGCTGATGCAAATCAGGAAGATGATACTGGCATAGAAGTTGATCTTGAGGATGCTGCCAATGACCTTGCACAGGAAGTCCTTAAAGACCCAGCCTAGCACTGACTGGGCAGCCCAGAAGGGAAGTGTCACCACCAGAAGAATGTCTGCAATGGCCAGGTTGAAGATGAAGATGTCGGTCCCAGCCAGGGAGACTCTGTCGAGGAGCAAGACAGCAATCACCATCATGTTGCCTCCTAGACCCAGAAGGAAAATCAGGGCATAGAACGGAGGCAGAAAACTCCCAGAAAACTCCTGGTGAGGATAGAAATCGCATGGCGGGGCTGAGCAACAATTACTGTAATTATAGTCATAACTCTCATTATAGTAGCCCAGGTAATCTTCACTGCTGAAACTGATCTGAAGTTCAGCCTAAAAGAAGAAGGAAATACGGCAAAGAATTATTTTATTTTATATTTTATTTTAGTTTTTGGTTGCTGCCTGAGGCTCAAAACCTCTATTACATGGAGACTCGTATGTGGAATTTGCCATTTTTTAGAAAACTAAAAGGCAGCCGTGAACTGTTCAGGGGCATCCTGGTGGGTCAAAAAACTCCAGATCGTAACTGTGGCCAGGTGATGAAAGCCCCACACAGGCATATGCATAAGAAAGGGTTGGGGCTTTCATGTAGATATGGCATCCATCTTGACTTTTTTGACCCACACAAAGACACACAAATGCCATGGATGCCCCTGGCCAAGTTCTTTGGAGAAACGCTGACTTTTATTTATTTATCGTATTTATTTATCATATTTATATAGCTGCCCATCTCACACAACGTGACTCTGGGTGGCGTACAATAATTAAAAAAATAAATACATAAAAACAACTACATATAAAAAACAATAAAAACACACAAAACAGGAGGGGATAAAATCAATAAGGGAGGCATCGTAAAATCTCCCCTGTCCCCTGGGAACCCCAGGCCTGATCACACAGCCAGGTCTTGAGGGACCTTTTCCTTCTCTACCGTTTCATTGTTCAAAAAGAATGCTGATCAGAAATACCCTAATGATGATTGGGATTCAGTGGGTTGGCTCTGTTTCATACTGGGCTCTGTGTGTGCACGCATGCGCGTGTGCGTGTGGTGTTGTTTGTTTAAAAGTCTACTGGAGGCATGATACGACAAAATTTGGGAGGACTTAAGAGGTGACATGGTTGGATTTCAACGAGAGCTGTGTTTTTCAAACTTGGCAACTTTAAGATGCGTGGACTTCAACTCCCAGAGTTCCCCAGCCAGCCATGCTGGCTGGGGAATTCTGGGAGCTGAAGTCCACACAATCTTAAAGTTGCTGAGTTTGAAAAATACGGCCCTAGAGCTTCCCTCCCTCTCCCATTACGGATCAGATGAAGAGTGCTTGTACCACCTCCTGGTGCAAATGGGATTATGCACTTTTAATAGCAAACATTTTGGGGAGAAGGTGGCATCGTCCCTTTCCCTCTGCTGCCTCCCAACGCAGCCAGGTCTCAACAAAAACCTTGCTTGCGTGCCCAGGCTACGAAGGCTTCTTGGCGTGCAGATTCCTTTCGCTGATAGGACGCCCTGTCAAGAGAAACTTCAAGAGAAGATCAGTGATGAAATTCCCAACTCTTTGAAGAAAGCCACAGTGCTTTTGCTGTAGAAGAACCACAAAGAGTGATTCGAGACCCATGAAAGCCACCTTGCAGAGGCGTTGAGAGAAAACTATTCCCATGAGCATTGTCTCAATTTCACAGACAGCTTCTATTTCTGAAAGGAGCATTTCACCTTATTTCGATTTCTCACATAGCTGGGCACAAGATGCTCTTTTCTTTTTTCTTTTTTTAATGATACGAGCTTTAGCGTCGAGGTACATCACGATTGATGTATTTTTTTTTCCCCTTGAGTGCACACTAAAAAAAGACAAACCAAGATCCTTTTGCCCTTCCAACTTCGCCAATGAAATTGCAGGGTTACATGCATACTGTAGCTAATTTAATACGGATACTTATATTTTTACTGTTTTTTACTGTTTTGGATTTTAATTGTGAGCCGCCCAGAGTCACCCTCTGGGGGAGATGGGCGGCATATAAATTGAATAAATAAATAAATATCGTCTAGCAAAAGAGTAGATAAAGCCAAAGATCTTTGCTTTCTGAGTCAGGTCTAAAGCAGGGTTTCTCAACCTCAGCAACTTTAAGATGTGTGGACCTCAACTCCCAGAATTCCCTAGCCAGCATGCATGTACCAACTCCCAGAATTCCCCAGCAAGCATGCGTGGACTAGGGAATTCTGGGAGTTGAAGTCCACAAGTTTGAAAAACACTGGTCTAAAGACTCCTTTGAGACCAAACTCTACTTCTAGGAATTACATGGATGCAAGCACATAGGTTTTTTTGAGGTGGTCTCTTATCCACGTCTAGCCAGGCGCATAGCTGCTTAGCTTTCTTTGCAAGATCAGCCAAGATTTGCTGGATGTTGTCCAATCTGGCATTTGGCATTTTGTTTGGTATGGCACGTAAACATCTTCCATGCAGCTCTCAGTCTCATGACTGAAGCTCTATCCTTTTCTGCATGTGTCACGATACATGCCAAAAAAGCTTTGGTCCTACAGTGGTGGCTGCCATGGTGATTTCTTGACCCCTCTGTGAATGCACCTGGAAAAATTAAATTTCTTGATTCACACGTCTGTGGCTCCTCAGTCGCTGGTTCCCCCGCTCTTCTTGTCCATAGTGACACATGTAAAAAAGGTGTGGAACTTCAGTCATGCAGCTGCAACCACCAACTTGACTTTTTCTGCCTCTCTGTGGACACAACGGCGCCCCTTCAACCTGCACCACCCATGTGGCTTCCTGCATTTGGGAAGGTGCCAGCAGGAAGGTCTTGACTATCGTTTAAAAAGAAAAGAGGGATGTTGAAAGTCACCATTTCTAAATATCTCGACTGTCTCTGGAAAAGGTGGTTTGGCAGGGTTTGGGGTTTTTTTTAAGGTTGCCACATTATACCCAATCTGCTAAACAGAGATATTTGTGTTATGAATGTGCATAGATAAGGCTGGAGATAGGAGCCACTTTTCAGAGAATTTAAGACGGCATATTGTCAGTGCCTGCTGTGTCAGATGTTGTCAAGCCACAAGGGGAAAGTTCTACATTGGCAGATGTGGTAGGCACGTCTCACCCTGAGCCAGCCGATGCCACCCTTGTAATCTGGCCATGTGGCTGCAAATTCCCCATCTCTGATACACCCACCCAGAGTTTCTGTCTCTCCCGTTTGCCTACGTTCTTGCCTTAAATTCCACACCGATGCTCATCTTATTGTTCTGTTTGCTTGGATGTTTTGAACCGCCCTTTTCATTGTCCCCATTGTCCGAAAATGGCAAACGCACATCTAGGCAAAACCCTTGCAATGAGGGAAAGTTCAGAATAGACATTTTTAATACTTATAAACCCACACTCCCCAAGCGGCTAGCCTGTAGCTCCTAAAAGCTGATGCTGCTTCATGAAATCTGTTAGTCAACAGAAAAGGTGCTGCCACAACCCTTCTGAGGAATTGCAGACGGTCATCACTTTCAGAGCAGCTCTAATCTGATGTAGCAAAACCAGGCGGGCTGGAAGTATCTTGAAGTTTAAAGAAAGGGGATACGTCAGAACTCTGTTATCCGGACTTTTGCACGGGAAGAAGGATTCTCTGGACATAGAAAAGCTCCCCCATTTCTCCCTGAAATCTAATCCAAGATGATTATGGCTTAAAATAAAAAAAGGTCTGCCTGCTGTGTGCGTATCCAGGCACTCAGATAAAAACGGGAATTGATGCCTGGGGTTTCTTATCTAGGTAGTTTTTGCTAGGGCTGGGGTGATGCAATTTTGCATTCTCGCTGCCTCATAATTCTTGCGGTTGTTCACATTTCTTCAAGATCGGTGTTTCTCAACCTTGGCCACTTTAAGATGTATGGACTTCAACACATGGCTGGCTGGGGAATTCTGGGAGTTGGTCCACACATCTTAAGGTGGGCAAGGTTGAGAAAGCCTGTTCTAGATGGTAGGTGTGATGCTCTGCAGTAATCAGTTTTAAGGTTTCACCCACTGTCTTACATAGAAGGTTTTTTATTCCCTTTGCAAAAAAAAAATAATTTTTTTTTTGGTATGTACAATTTTTTATTACAGATTTTTAAAAAAGAAGATAAAAATGAATGAAAACTAATATGAAGTCAGGAAAAGAAAAGAAAAAGAAAGAAATCAAAGAGAAAATGAAAGTACAAGAAAGGGGAAAAAAGTAAAAAATAGAAAAGAACGAACCTTTCTGGCTGGAAACTCCTTATAGACTTTTTGTGTGAAACAGAAAAAAATGAACTTATGATTTATGGTTTTGATGATTGGATAGAATAGATTATAGAAAGAAGAGAGTTATGTTGTAACCATAGAGTAAGATATAAGTTGATAATTGTACTTATAACTGTTGTAAAGAAGATTGGAAGCTACCTCTTTGTATCCTTTGCAAAATTTTAGATCACATTTGTATCCCAAGTGGGAGAAAGAGATTCAGTCCCATTGAAAACATGAGAATTAGTTATTTGGCATGAAATTGGGTCCCACAGATTTCATTGGGAAGCGTTTGCTTTCTAAATCTCATTCCATTTGTCCAAGATGTATCCCACAGCATGTGAGAAAAGAACGACAGTCTTCGAGACACAGTCCACTTTTCTGGATTGGATCTTTAAAAAATCAGTTTCAGAGAAGACCAACAGAAATAAATGATCAGGAGATTAGAAACTAAGTCCCGTGAAGAAGGATGGGAGGCATTGGGCATGTTTAGCCTTGAGAAGAGAAGATGGTGAGGGTGGGAATGGGAGGACACAAGAGCATCCTTCAAGGACCTGAAAGGATGCGATAAGAAAGGACATTAAGATGCGTTCTCCATCAATTCAGAATGTAGGGCTTGGAACAAGGGGTCTAGCTAAAGCAGGCAGATTCCATCTTAAACTTGCAAACAATATTATCTGGAGCTCCATTTCGTTCAGTTTGTTCAAACTGAGGCTTGACAACCATCCTGGGCTGGAGTACACGCGTGGTCAAGATGGGTCCTTCTAGATCTCAAATTCTCTAACTGCAAACGAGCCACCTCTTTTGCACTGTTTATCTCATCAAGTCTCTGATTTCTGCAGAATGTGCTTCCTGAGGTTCTCTTGGTTATCACTGGTAGCAGCAATAATATAGTTACTTGTTTGTTGTGTTTAAAAAGATGGAAAGGTTAAATGAAAACTGGAGCAAATGCTGTTCAGGTTTATTTAGCAGACTAAAAACTACCATGCCAGTCCTCAAAGAGAAGAGAAAGTGTATTGCAACATCAAACGTAATTCCTCAGCTGCAGAATTATTTATTACTATACATTATTTATTAATTGAACACATCCCCTGAATATTTTCTTCTGCCTTATCCATTCAATCAGGACTGTATTTCTTGCTTAGGACCCTCCTTTCATAAATATGTAACAATACCAATAATAATCCAATTGAGACACACACACCCATTATTTTTCAGAGGTAATCAGTCTTAAAAATCTAAGGTTAATGTCCTTACACATTTACTTGGGAGGAATCTACACTGAATTTGTCTCCAAAGGTAGGACAAATTTCAGACAAATCTCTGATTCATTTTCTAAAGTTGCATCGGTATGATTTGATTTAGTCCTTCCTTCTTCCCTAGAACCATCACATCTACTTGCATTCAATGGCACAAGACTCCAAAGAGAAGAATTTCAGAAAAATTATTCATCATTCAGTTAATATTCAATCAATTCTTATTTTCCTGCACCTGAAGATATTCAGATGTTTCTTCCAGCTTGAGCAACTGTAAATCTGCAGCCCCATTGCCCATCACAGCTTACAATACTGTATTGTAACACAATACTGGCACTCCCACATCCATAGAATTCATTTTCCAAGCACATTTTAAAATTCCTTCTCCCAGCCCAAGATTTCCAAATTTGGACTATGCATATGGCAGTATCTCATAACTCACCATGAATGAAGCTGCTCTGAAACCAGATAAAACAGAGGAGAAGAAAATCTGAACAGGAAGTCAAGACCGGTGAGTTGATTTTTATCTCTGCAGAAGAAACATCCCACCAAACAGGTATGAGGCAGCATGACATGATTTGAATGCCTGCTTCAGTTTAAAGATCTGAGACAAAGCCCTCGGGCAAAGGTGGCCCCACAAAGACTTTTCGTACCCCTCAATTCGTTTATAATGACCCCGATGAATTATCAGGAGTTCCAAATGGGAAGCAGATGAAAACCACAACGTAATCTTATCTATATTTATATCGATATCATCATCTATATCTATACACTTTATTAAAAGTTTTAAAGAGAACATAAAAATTAACACAAATACAGAAATGAAGACAACGAAGAAAGAAAAAGAGAAAGAACAGTGCAGAAAGAAAAGATAAAAGGAAATAGAAGAAGCTTCTGGTTTCCTTCAAAGCAAATCTAAGTACAATTACAAAATTATCTCTTGCTCTACGATTACAAAAAAACCTCGCTTTTTTCTATTATCCAAGTTTTTTTTCTAATCATCAAAACCACAGATCGTAAGCGCATTTTGTTCCGTTTCATGCAAAAAGCCTATAAGGGATTTCCAGTCAGCCATAAATGTAGATATTGTCTTTTCTCAGATCAAAAAAGTCAATTTTGTCATCTCTGCAAGCTCCATCATGTTCATCAACCATTCCTCTATTGTGGGTAGCGTCAAACTTTTCCATTTTTGAGCATATAGTAATCTCACTGCAGTTGTCACATATAAGAATAAAGTTCCATGGTTTTTTTCTAGCTGTCTAGTCATTAGTCCCCAAAGAAAAGTCTCTGGGTTCAATTGTACATTAGTCTTTAAAATCTTCTGAATCGCTGTATTTATCTGTATCCAAAAGGTTTTGGCTTTTTTACACATCTACCATACATGACAGAATGTCCCTTCATATTGTTCATATTTCCAGCAAAAATTCAAAAAAATTCAGTATACAATTTAGACAATTTCTCTGGTGACAAATACCAGTGATACATCATTTTATAAAAATTCTCTTTAAGGCTAGAACATAATGTAAATTTTAATCCTTTAACCACATATTTTCCCATTGATCCATTTGTATATTGTAACCAAATTTTTAGCCCATTTTATCATACATTCTTTCACTTC